CTTCCGCGCGGTTCAATTCCCAGTGGAATTTGGAATGTGGAATTTGTGGTGGGAATAGTATGCTCTCTTCGGGTTTTCTCGGGATTATCCTGTTCCTCCTGCCTCTCATTCCACCATTCTCCATCATCATGATCACTATCATTGTCATCACTCTTGAGCCTCAAAAATCTTTGTTGTTGAAGGACACCTAAACTCCAATAAATTAGTACATTAATGAATTGGTCTGAATGTTTTTATCTTTACAATTCACATGTGAAGCCACAGATCAAAATGAATTGACTGCAGGAATCATTCTAATTAGTTTGACGTGAATTCTTGATCTTCAAATTTTCTGAAAGTTCATTGAAGACTTGCCGATTCAAATTCATGGCAGTTATTTAAAAAAGAGTGAAGACAATAATCAGAAATATTAATTCCAATGACATGACTTTCTCGAAAATGTAAATATTTTGTCTTGAAGTCGCTTCTTATCTTTCGAGTTAAACGAAAGTTCGTACAAACGTTGCAAACAAGACATTTATCAATATTTTGTATTTGGTGTATAATATAAATCAAATCTGAATGAAAAATTATTAAAATATGTATATTAATGTGAAAACTTTTGTGCCGATTCTCGAAATGAAATGTTTAAATAAAGAGTTTGTCACATTATTATTTTAAATATTCGAAGCGTAATTTTACAATAAATTGCATAAACAAATTATCTACATCGAGGATCTTAGGGTCTTACTTTTTATATATCTGACCTACAATACACGATTAGTAAAATTAATATAATTTGCGAAACTTCGAAAATATTTTTAGAAGCAAATGTTTAATTAACGACTTTCTCACATTATTATTATTCTACACGTCGCGTAACCTTAAATAGTCTGACGTAATAAAAAAGTCAACATTCAAGTCATTTTAGGGAAAATTACTCTAGTTACAGCGCCCAAGTGCCTACGTTTTCTCTCCTTTTATTACGCAAATTCTAATTATGAAGCGTTTGTCCACCGACTTCCGGAGAGACTGTCCATCTCGTTATAAAGGCCTCCATTGTGAAGCAAAACGGTGAAGGGAAGGGGGAAGGGGTGTTCAGGGAGAACGAGACCTCAGTTTCTCGCGTTCGTCACGTGACTGAAGTCCACTGGCGGCGTATGACATTCCCCGCAGTCATTCTGGAGAGTGCAGGTGAAAAGAGCCTGTTTGTGGTCCTTTCTGTGGAAGCTGTTCTCTATTTTGAGGCGCGTGTTCATTGCTATAGAGGAGTTCTTTGTGTGGGGATTTCTGCGGTCATTATCCCGACGCAAGGACGTGCGCTGGGGAAGCAAGGCTTTTCAATTCAGGTTCTTCAGCACAAAAGAACAACACGACAATGTACTCGTAAATGTTAGAGAGGAACTGAAGAAATTCAGTAGCCTCTGCCTTGTTTTACGATTCCTGATTTTGCGGAGAGATAAATTTGTGGACGAGCAATAACTCGATAATATGTATGAATGAATTCTTAAATTCGGGTCATCCGTCAGGAGTTTTCTCTTCTTTGTCCTTAGACCTTCAACACATGACTCTAATGAGGCAATTACGGACTTCCAGCAATTTTTGAACTTTTCAGGATATAATTAACAATTTTACTTTCAAAATGAATCCGTGTGCAATTCCTACGAGAATGAGGTTCTTTTCTCTATTTAATGACATTCAAGGTATGACGAAGGACTTCGTATTCATGAATACGACTTCGTCTTCTCTAACATTTCCCTTTCATAAAGTTTCGCAATTTTTTTGAATGAGATAAAATATTGTAGAGAATGGTTTCTGTAAAAAAAGCTGTCAGGAAGAGGCAATGCGGATTGATTCTCTATAAGTCGCGATCATAAAAAAAACACGCAGGCAATAACGTTTAAGAAGAAAGTAGTACATTACACTTTTGTCCTTGGTTAATAAGCTAGTAACTCGTAAAAACTTATTTTTGCGGGAGAGGAGTATATCTTGCCGCACGGTCGTTATTTAAACTTATTTTCTAGCAAAAATAAACAGGAAACTTCTCTTATTTTAAGAAAATTTATGATCTGAAATCATTGTCATAGAGGGAACAGGATACTCCATCTGGTTAGGATTTACAATTTCACGAACTTAAGGTTATTTTGGATAATACGCATTCAATCAGCAACCAGAGAAATTTAAATTTATTTATTATATTCAAATATAGATTGTTTAGAATGACTCCGAAGAGTATATGATTTTCAATAAAAAGTTGTGTTATCAATTCTTTGAAGACATAATATGTAACAAGCACAAAAATCTTCAAATACTAGGATTTTAAGAAATTGTTCATAATGGCCGTTATTTTTCCAAGTGAAAAATAGCTGCTATGTCTTCCTTAGCAATCCATTAACTGAAGCGTCAATTCACTTACATAGACTATTCTACTCGTGAAATTAGAACTAATAGTGCTTAACTAGACATACAAAATGCCCCAATCAGGGCAGTGTATCTCAAAAAGTTTACCGCTTTTTCTATTCGATTTTTCTTACCGCTTCTATCTCTTTGCCAATCACAAATTGTGACTCATCTATCTTAGGAGGCGGTATACATCGATCGCTAAGTCCATGTCCAATAAACATCGTATGTATTTCATCATAATCTCTGATTTTAACATACACTTTCAGTTATTTTTAATATTTGGCGCTCTTTGGAACTCTGTTGGACATAACTTCACTCGTGGAATTGTCCCATTAAATACTATTCGTGCCCTAGAAATTCTCAGATAAATCCCCTCCTCACTTCGCGAGTCGGGAATTTATCGACAATTTGCAAAGCACTCATGATAATCTTTAACATAAAGGTATTACATTTCATTGGTAATGCACTGTGCAAGGAAGACAGATATTGCTTCACGACGTTCACAATTTCGTGGGTACATTCTGTGTGTGCTTTCTTACCTTAGGAGTTTCCCAAACATACTATTACACTTCATATTCTCATAGAGGTCCCAAATTAAGTTAGATAATCACTTTCAATAAACGACAGCTCGCTAATTGGCCTCAAAGCGGTCTCAAATCGTCGCCGATGCGCTAAGTAGATGTACGAATCCGGTCTCACTTCCTGTCTGGGAGCAGGTCCAACAAGAACTCCGGCATCTCCAGTGCGTGTTTGCACTTTCCCTCGAGGCAGGCAGTGGCAGGAGAATGCAGAGGCGCCGGCGGGAAGGCGGGGGCGCGAGTGGCGGCACGTGTTGTAGGATGGTGCTAAAGGAGAGGAGATGAAGGAGCAGTGGCGATAGTGGAGGAGAAAGTGGGGATTACGGAAAAGGAATCGCAGGACGAGGGATCATCGCAGAGTAGAATGTAGGAGTCCAGATGGCCGTGGTAAGTCGTCGCCCTGGAAAGAGAGGCGGTGGAAAAAGAAGAAGAAAACGTGGCAGCAACTTGACAGCTGGAACAGGACGATAACGCATAGGGGAAGAGGGTGAAGACTGCGGAAATTAGTTGAAGGAAAATCAGGTGGATACTTGTAGAAAGAGAAGATGTGATTCCGACGGAGAGGCATTTGTGAAAGATGGGATTAAGATGAAGAAATGAAACTGTATTGCACGGATATGAAGATGTAGGCAGGATGGAAAGATACAAATATAGGAGGGATTAGGGGTTTTGTATCGCTTGTCAAGAGCATACACGAAATGCAGAATTGGGATGCGAAAATACGAAGTCTGAAGGTGAGGATTAGGAGCTGATATGAGTGGTGAGTGCAAAGCGAAGAAGTAAGGACATGGAACTATTCCGATGTGCATTGAAGTTGGGATTTGGAGTGGAGATAGAGGTATCCGATTGCTGAGAAATGACATCTAAAACAAAGTATATTCGCCGATATTTGGCTGTCCGGGAGACGCTGCGTCCTAGGCACAGTTGCCAACGTTTCGGCCGTCGTACTGCGACCTTCCTCGGGGCAAAATGGGGCGTTTCACGGACGTGCTTCAGGTGCGGAAGCCTACGCTTTCATCAACATATTCATGTTTTGGAGGTCTCTAAATACGAGTGTAACGCCAAAACAGTCCTATGTTAGACCGGTTTGCCTTCATTTTGTGTGACAGTGAAGAGCGGACAAGATCACCAACTGGTGGGTTGCACTGGGGCGGCCCCGCGGGCGCCGATGATTCAGCACCAAGCGGCAGCTGACTGCGCGGTGTACCCACTAATTTGACAGCTTACAACTGCAAAAAGTCTATTTTGACTCGTATTGATACATAACGGTTCCCAAAACATCTTTCACCTTCAACTCTGGAAGAACAACCCTCCGTCTCGAAAACTTTAAACACATTTTATCTCAAAACTTCATTTTCCGTGTTGTGTCAGTATTGCAGCACATAAATAGTACGTTTTACTTTCATTTGATATACGGGAAGTTCTCCAAATGTGCGAAAACTCCAGATAAATGCAATTTAAAAATTTAACCTGTTATTGTCTGGTTGAAGTGAAAATGTCGACTTTGAATATCAGCGATTTCAATGGACAGGAGTCAGAGGCTAGTATGATCCGGAAAAATCGGTCGGGGTAACACAAGGACGAGGATTCCTTAAAAAAAAAATTTTCTCGTTCAAACTGAAGTCTTTCGAGGGATTTCAGTTTCACAAGATGACGTGCATTTCGTCGGTGACAACACTTACTCACCTGAGAAGGTCCTATCCGGCGGAATCGCACGCGGTACACAAGAACAAGGATTCTTTAAAACAAATTCTTCTCGTTCGATCTCGAGTCTTTCGAGGGATTTCAGTTTTACAAGATGACATGGATTTCAATACCTACTCACCTGAAAAGGTCCGATCCGGCGGAATCGCACGCGGTACACAAGGAGGAGGATTCCTTAAAAAATGTTTTTTGCGTTCGACCTGTCTTTCGAGGGATTTAAGTTTTACACGATGACATGGATTTCAACACTTACTCATCTTAGAAGGTCCGATCCGGCGGAATCGCACCCGCTGGACGAGGAGGAGGATTGCAAAGACAGTGACAACCCTAACTCACCTAAGCAGGTCGGATCCGGAGGCGGCGGGCTGCTGCTGGAGGCGGCGGTCGCCGGTCTCGCTGCGCTGCAGGAAGTAGTCCTCCTCCTCGTCGGGGCGGGCGTTGGAGAAGCTGGCGGTGCTGGGACGGGCGCTGGGGCGCGGGCGCGGGCGGGGACCGGGGCGGCGCGGGGCGGGGCCCACCACGGGCGGCGCCGCCGTCGACGGCCCCAGAGGGATGGCCGTGGCCGGCACGGCGCGCTGGCTGCCCGGCTCGTACCCTGCAAGCCACGCGCTTAGCTGCACCGCTCTACCGATAGACCAGGGGACGGAGAGCTCAAAGAAGTTTATTATTAGAGTCATGGAGAAGCGAGCTTGAATAAGGCATTTCTTTGCAAAATAGATTAAAACGAAAAGTAGTAAATATAGCAGCTTGTCGATGATTCCAAGGTAGGTGTTAATTGCTAATAAAAGACTTAGAGGCACGAAATCTCAGCCACATGAAGGGAATAAATAAGATGTTGTATTGTACAAAATGCTTGTGAGGTGTACCTCAATGATTTACACAGATCGTGGTTCACTATGTTTTATTTTTATTTTTTGCCTGGATCTTAGAATAAGAGAACTGTGAGACAGTACTCTAGAAGCAGAAGTAAGAATGCATCCTAGAATGAAGTATTTCGACGAAAATTGAAAGAGAAAAAAAAATTGGGGGGGGGCAGGAACACATTTGTGAATACTTATTTTGATAACGAAAGAAAGAAAAGGTGATTTCCATGTTTACGTCAAAGTTTATTTAATACAGAAACCACTAATTAGGGGAAGATTTAAGAGAGAGGTGTTTTATCCAATAAGTTTACGTTGACAAGAAATAAATTCCATTAAGGTATAGTATTCGTTCTCAATTGTGAGAAGTGTCTTATAATAAAGTAAATAATTGGAATATGAACTAATCAGACATTTTTTGACGGACGCAGAACGTGGTCGAACAGAAGAGTTGAAGCTTCAATTTAATCTTTGTTTAATGATAAGAACCCAATTAAATTGAAATTCGTAATAGCCTTTGGTCCCGTATCTTAAGTAAAGCATTTAGTCGAATATAATTAATATTTTCATTTAAATGATGTATTTACCCAAGGAACAAAACCGCTAATATCATTCAATAAATATTTTGCCGTAACATCGATAGAAATGGATTTTTCAACTTTATTAGTTTATTTCATGGTTATTTAAAACAGACGTTAATATTGTCATTATAGTATCAGATTCTGACACGGTGGATGGTTATAACTACGTGTAAGAAATCGACAATAGACAGAGGGAAAGTTTAACTTTCGTGAACAGGTGTCAAATTAATGTTCACGGTTTCTCAAAGGCTCATACACTCCCCCGCAATACGCGGGAGTCAAGCTGCTATTTGCGCGTTTAGTAGCTTGTTGCCACCTCCTGGCGAAAGAACTTGGGAATGCGCTGAGGAAAGCACATTGGGATTGCAGCGCGTTCTTCGCAGGAAAGAAAAGAAAGGTCGCACTGAATTAAGAAACCTGCGACGAGGTCACAAAGAGGAGTGTCGTCACAATATGCCCTTTTGTTCTCTAAAAGTCAAATGAAGAGAGTACTGGCGAAAAGACCAGAGAAAATGAATGAAAAAAATGTCGGTAATACTTGGCACATGGGATATCTAGAAACATGGCGTCTTATAGCATAAAACGGAACTTATGACAAATCTGTTATTTTGAACTGAAATGCTATCATTAAGTAGAAAGATTTTCGGTGAATGTTCTAATAAGTGCACAACAAACAAAGGCACAAAAATTGAGACAAGTTGGCCATTTGGTGAATAAATGTCGCAAGATCAAGCATACGTGCTATAATCCAAAATTCACCGTTTTGTGCTTGAGGTCCTTATGGTTATTGGCACTTCGAGTATTTAAGTAAAAATGTTTGAAATTTACATTTTATGTTCTTGTTTACATAATACAATGTAAATAATACAATTAAATTTTACACAGTAAACACGTAAGATCACAGTTATAATTTAATTTATTTCAACGATTTTTACCAACCGAAATATTTTAAAACAATTTATCAGTATTATATTTTTAAACTGTGGCCCTTTTCCTTGTTACAAAAACCAATACCGAAAAAAGTGATGCAGTGGGAAAGTTGCCACTCCTTTTCATCGGCCGCTTGAAAGAAATAGAAGGTGAGCTACATTTCCCACGAAATCCGGCCCTCTTCATCTTCCATGGCTCGATCCCCTAACGACCTCCTTTCGCAACTGCTTTGCGCCGGTCAGCCGTCACCGCAACTGGTCGCGGCTACATTACGTCACGGCGCGATGCGCGTCTGGCTGGCCTGGCGCTCCCATCCGGACGCGTTAACGGCAGTCGTTCGCGCCGTTACCGCTGGGAGCGCTGGGGGGCGCCTGCAGCTGTAGGTCAGCGGGGCTCCCGGTTTCGGTAGCGACTGATCTCCGCCGGCGGATAAGGGACGTCGCTGGTGGCACGATTGTCCAACTGCAGCCTTGGCCAAATACGGGGATTGCGTAAACGTTTCGTGCGAGCTGGAGGAATCTTGTTGAGAGAAGCCACTGGTTAATAGCGAGTTTCTTTTGCCTGGTCGCTGCTTAAGGGCGCGTCCATTAAAAGTAAGCAAAAAGAAAAAAAAAGGTGCTTACTGAAGTTGAAGAATTTTCTTTTGCTCAAGAGTTTGAGTGGCTGAATGACTATTTAGTTCCTCATTCACGTATTTATACAACTCTCTCAACAATAATATTTCAGGAATTGAATGCGACATGTGGCTTCGGTGAGGCTTAGCTGAATGTGAGGCTAGCTGGTTCCCCATTCACTTGTTCGTGTACTCTCTCGAAAACGACCACATTTTAGAAAAGTCCTTAAACCTCGTATGTGGCTGACTTGTTAGCTGACTCTGCCAAGGTGGTTTCCCATTCAGTGTTCAAAGTACTCTCTCAACAAAGATCACATTTTAGAAAAGATCTTAGCTATAACACGTAGCTTGTTAACCGCATCTGCGACAAGTATTCCCCGATATTTCTCGACAATGACAATATTTCAGAAACGCACTTTAATGCAATGCACTTACCTATGCGGTAGAGGTCAAAGTTGTCGCTGTAGAACAAAGTGCCTGCCTCGCAGTCCACGTCGTACCAGTTGGCACAAATTTGATTTTCTTGGTCGAAGGACGTTTCGTTCGGGCAGAGGAACCTGTAGTTCTGCACCTAAAGGGCACAAGTCACATACACTGCTTCATGAGTGCTGTAAGCCAAGGAATGCAGTTTCATCTTCACAAACTTTTACAGGCGTCAAGTGATTACGTAGTGCATGAAGCACCGCGATGAGTTGGAAATATTTATAGAATTATGGCCTTCGCATGTAGGGGGCAACAGTAAAATACAGGCAACCGCAAGAAGACGGAAAGGCGATTAGCTGACCGTTATTGCTTAGGGCTCGAAGTGTAAGCAAACCTATTTCAGAATCTTGTTTATATGGATTCTTACGAATTGTAGGATAACACTGAAAATTTTGGCTGTATCCAGAACTTACAGTTATCGAGGATATGAATGACAATTTTAATTGCTTTGATTATACGAAATGCAAACGACATTTATTCTCTGCAACACTAAACTATATTTCTAATGTTATATTTTTGGAATCTAGATTACTTTGTATTTGAGATTTTGTAGATTTCTTATTATTCAAAGTAAGTGTCTAATAACGCTTACTTTGCCTACATGTACAATTTAGTAAATGAATACATTCCAGATATAAAACGTGATATTCTGATTATTTTGATGGAAGATAATTTGCATTAAAGACGTTCCAAAACTAGGTATTTCCAAGAAATGTTTTCCTACATAAAATCCCTATTTTAACGAATGGTTGAATTTTATGCCAGTCATATATTTGAGTGTTACTTTCGAATTATTTGAAGGTAGATTTTAAAAACTTTAAAGAAAATTACTCCTTCAATTTTAATACTTTATAAATATCAAGAAAATGCACATGACTTATGTCAACTAAAATATATTTTGTTTAATACACAAAAATAAAGAAACCAAATGAAGAAAAATCACAAATGACTTTCCATGTAATTTAGAGTACCTTTATGTTAAAAATCTCAGTTACTGAGAAACCTGACCTAGCAACATTAAATTCTGTCGTTTTCTGATTCCATATAACTTATATAAGGGGAATGATACTTTGTAATGATTTACAATTAAGCATACACGTTATAGTGGCAAGAACCACAGACAAATAACTACTTAGTTGTAATATGGTTCATTGATGTTTTGGACATTTCGAATTCCTGTTGGATTTTGAATGAGAACGAGTCAGTTGTATCTAACGCAAATTCAACGAACGGCCCGGAGCTTTCCATGGAAGCCAATGCCCGGAAACCGAAACGCTCTTGTCTCCGGATGAGCCGTTTTCCTATTCTGGCGCGCCGCCGCCGCCAGACACGGCGTTATTAAATTGCCGACAGGCGCGACTGCTCGCGGAGCGACACTTTCGAAACGCCCTGAGAAAATAAAGCGTCCGCGGTCTTCTGATTCTAATAAACCGCGCCTTTACAGCCGCTGTAAACGTGTAGAGAAGACGCCGCGGAAAAACGGTGCATGCGCCTCGGCGACGCGTCGGCGCGCAGTGACCCTGAACGGGCGAAAAAGCGCGATGGGGCGCTGCGAGGAAGCGTCACCGCAGCTGAAAGGGTTGGAGATTCTGTACGCGATGCTCGGCTGTTGTCTACTGACAATAGGTGCCGTGGAGTTGAATGGAAATTTGCATTATTTTGTTTGCTCTCTGGAGTGCCTACATTCCGAGAAAGGGAAAATGCAATATTTTGTGACGCCTTTACTCAAATAAAGGTACTCAAATAAAGTTGGCTTATCAATTTTTGCCAAAATAGCTCATTTCCACTTGTATGTGTGTTAGAGTAGAGATGCCAGAACTTAACACAATGGGTACAGAATATATTTCTCCCAAGAGAACGTCCCACGCGTATTTTAAGTAGTTTCTTGGCGTTAAATAAATAAATAAATAAATAAAACATTATTCCGAGGCATCTGTACTATTCCAGAGGATTCGGCGCAGGCAGCGCTAGCGAGACTCACCCCGACGCCGGGCACTTTGACGCACACGTGGAACATCTGGCAGTCCGTCTCCAGGTCTGCGTAGTAGCCACCTAGGATCTTGTCGCGACAGTCGAAGCTGGTCTCCGGCATGTCGTCCAGGCTGTAGAAGCGCCCGGGGCGCCGCTGCGCCGCCGCCGCTGCCACCAGCAGCACTGCAACGCACACACACTCTGTTAGACCTCCCGGGCCATTTCCGTAATATATGGAGACCAAGATGGTGCTCCGTCTATGAGGCTTTTAACCCAGAACAATGTACATACCAACCATAAAACGTCTTTTCTACGATATATATCATATATATGTCTGGGTTAATACATATTAGTGGTTAACACGACATTTTCTGCTTCTCATTTTATCAGAGCGAAGTTGTTCTGAGATGTTAATCTTAAATAGTTACAGATATCTTACGTACTGAAGAGGATCTCATACTTAGAGATCAAAACATCTACTAATAAGCATTTAAAATTATAGTTTATTTCATAATTGATTGATATTAATCTAGTGATCACCCTTGATTACCAGATGGTTCTATACAATGCCACCAAGTTAGGTGAACAAGTGTTCGTCTTATCCGCGTGGAGCAAGGGCGTCTTCAAAAAATATTTTCGGGGTGTTTTAAAAAAAATGGAAATAAACCATTTATTGGATTTATTTATGATAAAAACGATTGAATTAAGGCTTTATATTCACTTAGTACATTTTAATTTATAAAATAATTGGAAAAGTAATAACAGTGGTATACATCTTTTAACTTTTCCCCCCATAGTTAAAATTTAAAAATATTGTATATTTAGATTTGTTGGGTAGTATTACGTATATTACGAAGTATTAAAGCAATTCAAACCAATTAAAAAAATTCTTCTCATTCAGCACTCACAGGCTCCACGTAATTTTTGAACATTTATTACCTGTGCTGCAGAAGGAGACCCATAGTTCTCACTAGTCTTCTTTCAGATGTAGATTCTTTGAGTAGTGTATAATGTAAAAAGAGATTGTCCCCCAAAATGTTCTTAATAGTTATTGTTAACTGATCGATGTAGATTCAGACCGTATAAACTATTTAAATAAACGAATGGAACGGCTGAGAGAGCCCCGGAGGAAAGGCTTGGCGCATCTGCGTTGTTCACAAGCAGTGTCGGGTATTTGAATTCCGGTGCCCAGACACGAAACACCAACGCGCTGGCCACTACGCCACGGGTCACCCTAAGCGAGCGAGCAAGAGTGAGTGAAAGAGAGAGAGAGAGAGGGGGGGATGGAAAGAGGGGAAGCCATGAGGTGACCGTTGGTAAAAAAAACGTGCTCAGCGGGATGAACATTTTATGAGAGGTTGCGTAACGCAAAGGAATTACTTTCTCTTAACGGTTGGTTGTTGTGTCGAATAGTCAGGGAAATTGAACATGACTTGGCAGCATTGCTGGACATACATATAATGATATTGTTACGAGATGCATAGTTGTCATGCCAAAGAGAGAGATTTCATTTGAGGAACAATTATTTCCATTTATTAGATGTTCTAAAGATTTTTTTGTAACAATTTCAACATCTTTAATTCAAATTACTTTGATATTAATGATTACATAACGAGGAACATAAATGAAAAAATGTTCACTCAAGGCAACAGTATATAAAAACTTTCAACGCCGCAGGTAGGTTTATAACAATAAGAGAGAAAACAGAAAATAAAGAGTAACAGGAAAAGATAACTGTAAATTTCCCTAGAACATATTTTATGGAAAACAATGTCTAAAGCAATAAAACAAATAAAAACTAGAGAGTTTTTTTTCTTCAAAATTCAGTGCAAAAAATCACCAATCTTCATCATTAATAATACTGATCTGTTATTTTAGGCAAATAACACTCTCACACATCTCACACATCTCGGAAATACAGTGAAATCGATGTGCCAGTCTGGATGGCCATGTTGTAGCGATCTCGGACCGAAGGATCGCGGGTTCGAGTCTCGCCTCGGGCATGGGTGTATTTGGATTCGTCCTTCCACCCCCTATCACCACCATAGCATGTGAATTTAAGTAATAAAAATTGTAGTTCCTAATTTCCTTTTTTAAATTTTACGTTTAAAATTAATTCGACAAAACGTTGTATGTGGTCCGTTTCCCAAACATCTCTCTTAAATTCGATTTTTTTCACGCACCTATATGCGAAGTGTGTTCTACAAGATTTTATTGTCCGTAAGAAAGAGGAAATATCTCTCATTGCAGGCAAATCTTTCCTCGACATCATTTTCTTGACAATGAAATTTAATAATTTTCAGCAGAGAGAAAGGGGAACGTTGAAAAGCTACCACATGCATCACCGTCACTACCAATGGCTTCCGCCTCGTTTGTATTACAAACGACGGAAAATGACCCCCTTCAAACAATGGAAGCGGAGGGACAGTAAATTCAGCGAGAACCTCGAGACCATGAGTTCGATCACGATTTCCAGCCGTAGCCTTGCCGTAAGCTCTGCAACCCGCACGACATCGGAGCGTGTTGCTCCTATTCAAGGATGCTCACGTTCATCTTGTTCGAGTTTCACTCATACTTTTCCCTTCTGCGTCCATTTTCTCCAGCACGAAGCGGTCAGCTGACACGTGCAAGTCGGTTCGCATGTAGATCTCAGCTCGTGATACACCCAGTCAAACGCTAATAAACTGCACTTTCTTGCGCACGTCATCGAAAACTAACGTTGGTGGTAGTGAATGGGTAACATTTTTGTGGAACGATTTCGAGCATCCAGAAAGTGGATGGCGAGGAAGAAGAGTTGCTTTCGCGGTAATATAGTGCGTGACTGCGTTCAAATTAAGCTTATAGGCATTCCAATCTTGACATTTCAATCTCTCGTCTTTAGTCGAGTTAATTGCCACCAGTAAAATGTAAATGGTAGTTAGTAAATATCATATTTGGTATTCGTATCTACGAACTGCGCTCGACCCTTCTAACTAATATAATCATACGTCCTTTCTTTTAAGAAAAGTTTCTTTATAAGAAGACATGAACTGGGCAAAATACTACACTTGATATCCTCCCTTGGGAAAAACCTTGGTTGCGCCACTGACGTCTATTATTATGAATTGGTCAGTCAGTACCACAGTACAATTTCAATCGCAGCCTAACACAAAACCCTCTCTCTTTCACTTATTAAGGAATTATGCAAAAGCGTGCACTTTCGCTGACGATACAGTTCAAAGGAAGCATCTGCATCTCCCGCCGAGTTTATCCCCTGCCCTTTGATCCCCTCGCATACGGCGCCCGACCCACACTTCACGGGGCTCCGCCGCCGCCGCCGCCGTGCAGAGCCGGGTTTAACGCCCGACCAGTCACGTTTTCTCCCCAGTTTCCCTGGATCATCCGCGAGAGAATGCCGCCACCGGTTCGTTCCCCCCGGCGGCAGACAGGCGCCTCTGGCTTTCCTCCGTCGACGCGCGCACGCACTGGGCCCTAATGCGACAATACACGCGCGAAAATGAAGAAAGGAAAATAAACTATCCATATATGATTATTATTATTAGTAAGATATATGATTATTTGTAAGCTGTGCACTTTATATTTATATATATATATATATATATATATATATATATGTGTATTTTATTTATCCTAGTTTATAATTTTATTTGTTTTTTTGTGTTAATTATTTAATAATCAATTTACAGTAATGTATGTCGTCCTCAGGCACTGTTCATTGTTTATACTTCAGCCCTGATGAAGAAATTAAATATTTCGAATTTATCGTGAGCCAATTTTAATTCTTTAAAAATAATCTAGCTACATAACTGCGGATATTCCGCAATATTAAAATCGTTATTTTAAAAAGAGAAAATAGATTCAGACTGGAATATAGGTTCGCTTGTTTCTGGCAATCTGGTATCTCAATGGCGAAACTTGCCCATAAATGCAATATTTTTTTTAACAAAGGCATAATTTTGTAGATTAGTGCATGAGAAACGTAGTGTGCGAGAAACGATCCCTGTGGGGCCCCAGACCTATTGTTTAAGGGACTGAGATGTATCATTTCCGAGGTCAGCAGGACTGCGACGTGAATAGCGTTATGTATTCGACGACACAAGCGAATAAACATGCATCTTGGTCACAATTCGCAGCAGACGGTAATGCATTTTCAGATTGCTTTATGTTCACGGTGCCTCAATCCTGGAGACTCATTTCAATATCATGCTTATAACGAGATATTTGGATACAAAAAAAAACAGTTTCATTTCTAACGCTGTCGCATCGAGGCACGATAACCTTTTCAAAGAATTTTTCCACGTCAAAATGAATATTGAAAATTGAACAAGAGGCTTTTAAAAAAGCTATGAAAAGTGACATATTCATGCTAATAATTTGTATTTTTAAATATTTTAATTTTAATTTTTATGTATTTGTATATTTATTTATTCGTATTTTCATTTATTCGTATTTTCATTTATTCGTATTTTTATTTATTCGTATTTTTATTTATTCGTATTTTTATTTCTTTGTATTTTTATTCATTCGTATTTTTATTCATTATTTATTTCCATTGCTATGCACTCATTGTAGATTGCAAGCAGCTTCAAAAATTACAAACACACGTTCCGTGTGTTGTTTGGGCCCTCGGAGCGCCGCTTCCTCTACTGGCAAAGAGCTCCCGACGGCGCGGCGTTGCGTGATCGGGAGGACAGGCGCATCCCGCGTCCATTATACCACTTATCCGGTCTTCGCAGGTTGATGGGGGCCAACTGCTTATTACCGAGGCCCGGCCTTACGAAACGCGTGTGTACGTTTTCGAGAGGCGCCGCGTCCACCGCCGACTGCCTAATAAAGCACAGCCCACGCACGCTGCTCGCCGGCACATCGGTGTGTGGAATTTAGAATCCGTTACGGTGGTTTGAACTTCTTCCAGAAGTAGTTGCTCTTCGAATAACGCAATGTTACGTTGCTTCACAGCAGTTACAAGGATTTGAAATTGAAGGAGATTCTTCTCTGAAAATGGCTGTAACCTTATTGAGCAGTAAATTTATTGCTGCTAGCAGATACTAGTGGAGGTAGCAGGTACTTATTGCCTTCGTAATATCGAGCAGTAATTGAAATGATCTCTCTATTGATCTTATACGTAGGCTGCGATACCGGATGTAGTTGTGAGAAATAAAATTTCGTAGACAGGGAGATTC